GAAAGTGGCCAACATAGAAAATGTATCTAAGCTGATTGTAATTTTGGGTATTTTTTACTTTAGATGCTGGTCAACCCATGCAGGGGAAACATCCTGTTCCCATTCCACCTCTCCACCAATCGTATTGATGCAATCACCATGGAAAGCGCCATTGAGGAGGCTGTTCGACAGGCTGAAGAGCAGGACAGATCACAGACCGGTGACACTGGTGAGGGTTTCTGGTTTGATAACGTTGCCATGACTCCGATGCCTGGCAGTAACGTCTCTGTGTCTGGAGACCACCGTCAGAGCGAGGAGGTATGTCTCCCAGGCGACATGGGCGGCTTGACTCCCGTGTCCTCGGAGGTATATTCCAACATTTACGGCCTCCAGCAGACGAGGTACGTGGAACTGTCGTCTACCAGCGAGAGTAGGTCTGCGACCGAAAGCCGCACGATACAAGCAAATCACGATGCTCCCAGGGAAGTAACCATGCCAGCAGCTGTCCCCATCCGAGAAGAGACGTCGATGCTCAGAAGCACCGACAAGCTTTGTTCATATGACGCCAGCTTGCCGTAAAATGGGCTGTAGACGCGAGGAAACAGCTGAAGTCTCTCTGTACTCATTAATAACCTTGGCAACAAGGTTTGACTACATCTTTAGATTGCCGAAAACCCATGCAGAGGGTCTTTTGGCAAGAGGGTGTTGTGGACTGAAAACTTGGAGAAAGTGGAGACTTGGACAGATATCAAGGATGAGCACAGTCCAGACGGACAGTTTAGTTTATAATTAACTTAAAATGAAAGTTTGTAAAGTGTTAATATATATGCCTTCAGGAGCAATCTACATGTGGATTTTAGTAAAGACTTCAACCATAGGATGGCTCCTGCTCTCCAAGGACTCCGATTAAGCAGAACGTCTGTAATTCATGACTTCGAGACAGCCTATTTCTGACTCGAATAAGAACAATTGTCAATTTAGTTTGATTAAGGAGACGTAAGGAATGATGGCTGTATCCTTGACAATGAATCAAGCTGAAAGGCGAATGATACAAAAGACTTGTTTCACGAAAATGCAAAATTTGTAACCCCATTACACATCACACACGACTGCATCATGAGACATTGTAATAATGTAATTGTGGGATATGCAACTCTTGGTCTTAGCATCGCTTGAAGGGGACTGGCATGAGTGTGATTTTTATTCAAGATCTACTAATCTTTTGAAGCCGACTAAATAGGTACACATCTTATGCACATTCATCTACATTTTGGATAGAAAAACTCTTCAGTGCAAGCGAACACTTTACAATTCTCTTTATTCTGCTGCGCCAAGTCAAGAGGGATTTTTCATGTCTTTTTAGATTTTCTATTATTTTATAAAATTAATGTACAGAAAGCCTCATTTCCTCGCTAAGGCCGATACTTCGGTCTTCCTAAATGGCAAAGAAAAAGACGGTAACTATGGCTCAGAAGGCAGAAAAAAACTCATGTGTCATGACTCTCCATTTCGAAGAGAAAGTTGGTTAGAAGGAATTTGTGATGTGATCTGAGTGGAAACCGAAGGAGGATTGTCGCGAAAGTAAGACTGTTGAATTGTGCGGAGTAGTCCTCGGCTCATTCTTTTATAAAATGAATGTACAGAAAGCCTCATTTCCTCGCTAAGGCCGATACTTCGGTCTTCCTAATTGGCAAAGAATAAGGCGGTAACTATGGCTGAGAAGGCAGAAGAAAACTCATGTGTCATGACTTTGCATTTCGAAGATAAAGTTGATTGGAAAGAATTGGTTATGTGGTCTCACTGGAAACCGAAGGAGGATTATCGCGAAAGGAAGACTGTTGAA